ACCCCCGAAGGGAGGACCCAGAAGGCTCTTCTCGGGTCTGGAGACGGGCAACGGGGTCGCGTCGCGTCGCCGCCCCTGCCGCTGCTCTCTTTCCACGCCCAGGTGCATCTTACTCTGTGGAAACCGAGAGGGCCTTCCTGGCCTCCCCTTCAAGCTTCCCTGAGAAACGTGTGCGGCTCCCCGTAGAGATATCCTGGATGCCGCAAGAGAGGAGACCCCTGCCTGGCCGGTTGCCCCCCCTTCCAACCTCCCCCCGCCCCGCACTGCCAAGTCAGTGCCTCCCCTTCCTCTCTGGTGGGGGTCCCACGACCTTGCACCCCAATGGACAAGGGGTGCCATCAGGCCGGGATCTGCAAGACAGTCCGCCAACAGTCTACCTCAAACCAACAACAGGCTCAGCCTTTCCCTCTTTCTTGCCTCTTCCGCCACTCCTGGACAAAAGGGGGCTGTTTTCTGGCTTCAAGGTCCCCGAAGTCTCCCAGGGGAAGCTACAGCTTAGTAACTCATCCCAGAAGCAGGATCAAGTCATTTAGTTTACACTCAGGCGGTGTCCTTATCTTCCTTAACGTGGTGGCCCCGGACAGTCCGTGGCGATGGAGACTCCGGCCTGGTGGACACCTTCTGCCGCAGGATCGCTGTGCTGCCTGCAGACCAGGCACCTGTCTTCATGGTAAGAGAAGGGAAGGGAACAGGGCACACGTATGAAGGGAGAGGGAGGGGGGACACACCTCGCTGTCTTGCTGACCTCTGCCTCCTCTTCTGGGCTTTCTCCACTCTAGCAAGCACGGCCGGGGCTGCATTTTGCTCACGTGCGACATGCTGGCCTGTATTTTGTTGCGACTGTCCTGCCCAGCACCTCCCCATTTGTTGCTGTGGAGTTCCTCAACAGGTGAGGAAGATGGGATGGATCAAGTGGACAGAAGAAAGCTCATTTCCCTCTCATGCCATACTAAAATCAAGGGATGTCCACTCCAATGGAGTGCTGGGAAAGCGAGAACAGACCAGTGAAAATATTTCTTTACCCAGTGGGTTGTTAGTCTGTGGAACTCCTTGCCACAGGGTGTGGTGATGACATATGGCATCTAGATGCCTTTAAAAGGGGATTGGACAGATTCCTGGAGGAAAAGTCCATTGCAGGGTACAAGCCACGATGGGGATGTACAATCTCCAGGCTTAGAAGGAAGGGGACCTCCAAATGCCAGATGCAGGGGAAACTGGTCTCGTTGTCTCGGGTGCTCCCAGAGGCATGTGGTGGGGCTGCTGTGAGATACAGGAAGCTGGACTAGAGGGGCCCTTGGCCTGATACAGCCGGGCTCTTCTTATGTTCTGATATCTTTAGCCCCCCCCCTTCCCTCTGCTTGGGACCCCCAGCCCTGGGGAACGCACCCTGAGTCCTCTCTTGGCTTTCCATGGTAGCAATTGATATAGAAGAATGTGACACTTCTATTAGACCCCTAAAAATAATCAAACAATTGAGATGCATAAAATTATGCAGGGAAGGAATAAAGTGGATAGAGGAAAGTTTTTTTTCCCTCTCACGTAATACCAGAACCAGGGACATCCACTCAAACTGAGAGTTGGGAAAGTGAGAACAGACCAAAGAAAATATTTCCCCAGTGGGTTCTTAAATCTGTGGAACTCCTTACCACATGATGTGGTAATGGCATATGGCCTAGAGACCTTTAAAAGGGGATTGGACAGATTCGTGGAGGAAAAGTCCATCGCAGGTTACAAGCTCTAAAGGAGATGTATAATTTCCAGGCTTCAAAGGGAGGTAGCTCTAAATGCCAGTTGCAGGGGAGGGGTATCTAGTTGTCTCGTGTGCTCCCAGAGGCATCTGGTGTGAGATACAGGAAGCTGGATTAGATGGGCCCTTGGCATGATCCAGCAGGGCTCTTCTTATGGTCTTATGACAGGATGGGTGATCCAGGTGAACAGGGTAGGAGGTGGTGTGACTAATTTCTTGTGGCATAATGGTTAAACTGCAGTACTCTGCTCACAACCTTAGTTTGATCCCGACAAGTTCAGGTAGTTGCCTCAAGGTTGACTCAGCCTTCCATCGTTCCAAAGTTGATAAAATGAGTACCCAGGTTGGTGGGTGGGCAAAGTGTTCTTGGCAGAACTACCGTATTTTTCCGTGTATAAGACTATACTTTTGTTTAAAATCTTTAAACTAAAAATTGAGAGTCATCTTATACATGGAAGTAAGCTGAGGAGAAAAACCCAAGTGGAGGGGAAAGCAGAGATCAAAGAGATCCTGTACAGCTTTGATCCCTGCTTTCCCCTCTGCTTGCTAAGTCCCATGGGGCTTAGGAAAAGGAGGGGGGAAGGATCAAAGCAATCCCGTGGCAGTATAAAGGGGAAAGGGATCATAATGATTGTGCAGTTGTGGAATTGCTTTCATCCCTTCCCCCGTCCTTTTGCTAAGCCACATGGGGCTTGCCACAAAGGGAGAAAGCAGGGATCAAAGCCATCCTGTAGCACTTTGATCCTTTTTACCCTATATTTGCTAAGCCCCACTTAGATTTCTTAATTTTGGGTTAGAAAAGTGGGGGGGTGTCTTATACATGGAAAAATACAGTAGGTTGTAAGCCACTCACAATGCTCTTAACGCTATGGGGTGATATATAAGTCAAAACAATAAAAATAATTCACTCTCCATTGCTCCTCTTGGTAGATTGGTAACTCTCCTGAAAGACTACTGTGGTTCCCTAAACGAGAAGACAGTCAGCTTGAACTTTGCACTCCTCTATGAAGTGCTGGATGAGCTGCTGGTATGTTTGCTTGGAGGAGGAGGTGGTGGTGGCAGTGGTGAAGGTGGAAGGGACGTGGTCATCCTGGAGCAGTGTGGTGGGAGGAGGAGGAGGATGCCCACGGCACTGACTAGCTATCCAGCAAGGCCCGTTCCAGTTGTCGGGACTGAACTGCTTTGTGGAGGCAGCGGGGGTGGGGAGGAGATGGGTTCCAGTCCTAAAATGGCCAGGCAGGGGCTGGAAGGGGACTTGGTTCAAGTAGTGTGGTGGCAGCAGCAACAGCAGCAGAGGCGTGCCCATTCCCGGAACCCCTGTGGGGCCACTGGGGAAGCCCTGCCATGCTTCCGGTGGTGCCAGGGAGCCCCTCTTCACCCCCGTGCCCAGTACTTGTTCACAGTCCCAGCACCTTGTACTGAGAGCTATCCTGTTAGTGGCCACAGCCTTCCTCATTCAAGCAGTTTTATGGTCCTATGTCTTCTAAGCTGCTGCCGCAGATGTTGTGGCTGGTTTTGTCAATCCCTGTGCTGTGGAAAATCTCCCCGAAGGTGTTGTTCCTGGTTTTATTCATTTTATTCATTTTATTTATTTATTTATTTATTCAATTTTTACCCCACCCCTCTAGACAATGTCTACTCGGGGCGGCTTACATGGATAAAAACACAACAGTATGAAATGCATAAAATTATCAAAAATACAATTATAACAATTAGTTCCAAACAACACAATACCATGATGGCATGACTCAAGGAGAAAAGAGAAAAAATTGACTTGACTGGAGGGAAGGCCTGCTTGATTAGCCAAGTTTTTAACTGGCTTTTGAATAACTGGTTCCAAACAAACCCTATCTCTGCTTCTTCCTTTGGGCCAGGCTGAGAGCTGGCTGTATATGCCTGCGTCCTCTCTCCCTGCAGTGCCGACCTGAAAGGAGGCGGAAGGAAAGGCCTGCATGGGCAGCCAACCATCTCCTCCTTCCTTCCACCCTCAGGATTACGGCTACATTCAGACAACAGCACCTGAGGTGCTACGGAATTTTATCCAGGTGGAACCTGTGCTGAGCGAACACTTCAGCCTTCTTGATCTTAACACAGTGGGTCTGGTGAGTAGAAACAGATAGGACTCAAACCATCTCTCTCCTGAGAGGCAGCGAAAGCTGGGGAACTAGATGGCTCCATGAAAATCTCAACCCCTTCTGTGGCTGCTGTAGGACAGTGCACTCCATATTGGCCGTGATTGGAAAACAAAAGGAGACCACACCGCGAATGAATGCCACAGGGGTTTTATACAAGTCATCAATGTAACTTTAGGTGCAAGTGCTTTGCAGGACTGTTTTTTATTTATTTATTTTATTTATTTGATTTGATTTGTACCCTGCCCATCTGGTCTATAAGACCACTCTAGGCAGCTTCCAGTATAACATAAAAGAGTAAAATAACACAAAATATTACATAAATCATACAATAACAGATGCAATACAAAGACAGAATAAGAAATAAATAAAGGAAAAATAAAAAGAAAGATCAGATATTAGCTGGAGGGAAGGCCTGAGAAGCTGCACCTGAGCAACGATGCTGCAGAACTGGAGCAGGTAAAGGGATGGCCACCAAAAGAGCTTTGCTTTTGTTTTCACTAACAGAATTGTTCTTTGCACTTCCACCTGAAAATTGTCTTTGATTTCCATCCAAAGTTCCTCTGGTTCACAGTAATGCAAATTTATTCTTTGTGTGTACTTTAAATTCATTAGAAACTTTGTCTAAATCAGGGGTCCCCAACCCCCTGTCTATGGCCTGGACTGGATCACAAAGACAGATGTCCCCCTCCCGCATGCACTCCCCCCTGCACAGCCGCTTCACGCGTATGTGCAAGTGCCCCCTGCCCCTTTTCTACCTTGGAACTAGGATTCTTTCAGTTTTCTTTTTTCAGCTCTTTGTAAATTTTGATATTATCCATTCGTGATAAGGACCACAATCTGCTCCTGGTCTTATTCTGGCAGAGAAAATACAGCTTTTCCATCTCCTGCTTCCAATTCTGTAGTCCATTTGATTTCTGTATTAGTCATCCGGTGATGTCCAGGTGCACAGTCATCTGTTTAGTAACCTGAAGCACGTATTTGCAATTAACAGGTTGTTGCCTTCACAGAATTCTGTGCATCATTTATTCTGCTTCATGTCTCTCTCCTAGGCCAAACTCTCCAAGGTTTGGTTTTCTTCTGTTTCCTACTGTTGCATTTCAGTCACCTATTATTAGCATGTCCGGGTATGGACAAAGGGTAAGATGTGCATACACTCCTGGCAGGAAGTGGCAGCTGCTAGCAGGCAGGGTAACCACCCCTTCTACCCTTTTGCTTAGCATAAGACCAAAGGGTTATTTTATCCAATCCTGGTTACAATTAGGTAACTAGTGTCCTATCTGTTTCTCTCATAACATACTGTGTCATTGTGCTAAGTCAATAAAAAGAGCCCTCAGGGTGTTGCCAGGAGGCTCCGCTGGTTCTTGTTCGGACATCCGCTGTCGAGTCCTTTGTTCTCTCTCTCCAAGGCAATTAGCCTTTCCTTTTTTATTTATTTATTCAATTTTTACCCCACCCCTCTAGACAGCATCTACTCGGTGATCACAACCACTGTCTTATTTTCTTGAAATCATGGAGAAAGGGTGAAGTGCCAGATGACTAGAGGAGGGCTAACATTTTCTTATCCTCAAAAACAGGGAACTAGGCGAATCAGGCAGACATCAAACCCAGGAAAAATTCTGGAGCAGATTTTAATGTGGTCATCATGCAAGCACCTCAGAAACAATGTAGTAACTAGAAGCCAACACAGATTTGCCAGGAACAAACTCATCTTGCCTCATTTTTTTCATTCTTTCAGCTCCCATTTGGATTTCTGAATTGAGCATGGTGTTGGGCTCAATGGCTTTGTTTTGTTGTTGTTTAGTTGTTAAAGTCATGTCCAACTATTCATGACCCCGTGGATCAGAGCACGCCAGGCCCTCCTGTCTTCCACTGCCTCTCGGAGTTGGGTTAAATTCATGTTGGTTGCTTCGATGACACTGTCCATCCATCTCGTCCCCTTCTCCTCTTGCCCTCACACTTTCCCAACATCAGGGTCTTTTCCAGGGGGGCATTCTCCTCTCATGAGAGGGCCAAAGTATTGGCTTTATAGGCCCCCGCCAACTCTATCATCCTATGGTTTTTATATCATCAGATGTTCTGAATACCATTCAGTCAATAGCAGAAGAAACAGAACGTTCTCTTCCAAACTTTGCCATCATTAATAATAATACTAGTGTGCTATCAAGTCGATTTTGACTTATGGTAACTCTTTAGCCTTTGGGGCTAAAAGTGCTTTATCCTTCCCTTCTTCTGAGGGTGCTCTGAGACCACCAAACACCTTGCCCGCGAGAACACAGGTTGGCTCTTCTCTCAGAAGGCTCAGTGGGGAATTGAACTCTCAACTGCTGGCTCTATAGCCAGAGACTTAAACCACTTACCTTTGGTGAAGTCATTTGTTCTATGCCATCAGATTGCATCTGACCTACAGCTGTCATGAAATATATTTAAATATTTAAGGAATGGTTCTCATAGTTCTACACCCCAAGTGAGTTTCTGTGACTGAGCAGGAATTTGAACCAGATCTCCAGAACCTTCCTCCATCACTCTTTAATACAGTGCACTGGCTAAATTAGCCAATCTCAACCCATTTTTGGCCATGGCCATGAACACAATATGAAACATAGGCCAAATCAGGACTGTAGAAGTCACATAATGAACCTTTCTGCACTTGATATTTCCTGTGATTGCAGTTTGGAGCGGACACCCAGCAAAGCAAGATTGCCCCCAGCTCTGCAGCTGCCCGGCCTGTCCTGTCCTTGCGGGGAGAACAGGTAAGAAACTTTGCCACTCTTTCTCCCCCGCCTCGGTTTGCCTTTTAGGCGCTGTCCACCTAATAAACGTATTGCAAAGCTGCTGGCAGAACAGGTGCTCTGGCCACATAGGACAGCTGTGCCACTTAGCAACTCACAGCATATGGAACTCATTTCCTCTTGCCATGTAGACACAATGTGGAGAGGAGTGACGTTAAGATCTCTGCCGCTGTCTCCTCTTTTTTTCCAGGTCTCGCAGCCTGAAATTTTTCTAGATGTGGTAGAGAGGCTCATGGTCACCATCGCAGCTAATGTGAGTGGAGGAGCAAGGGTCTGGGTGAATGATAAGCCCCCCCCCCCGCTGCCCATGGCCAGACCTTCCTTAAATTTCCACCAGTCTGTCAAGAGAAGGAACAAGAATCTCCCGGTTTTTCCTCCTCCTAGGGCACCCCCATGAAAGCTGACATCCAAGGGGAAATTCGGCTTAAGAGTTTCTTTCCAGGTTGCTCTGGTGAGTAAAAGCTGCAGGGTTCCAGGGGACCAAACCACAAGGGCATGCTTTGGACCAGGTCCTGTTTCCCAGGGGCTGTTTGTGGGAAATACGCGGTTCCTCTTTTGCAGAGGGCTTCATTTAGGGCACTGGTTCTTAATCTTGGGTTACTCGGTTTTGGACTGAAACTCCCAGAAGCCTTCACCACCAGCTGTCCTGACTGGGGTTTCTGGGAGTTGCAGTTCAAAGGCATCCGAGTAACAAAGGTTAAGAACCACTGGTTTAGGGCAGGAATACTACCTGCGAGACTGGGTCCCTCCCCCCCCCCCCCCAATTTTCATTTCATGCCCAACCCTGGCTCCACCTAATGCTTGGGGACTCCTCTCCCATTCAGCTGAAAACATACATGTGTCTCCCTGTTCCGGAACGACTATGCTTGGAGAGCACTTTTGATTTTGGGGGGGTGGTAATAGTTCTGGGCCACCTCCAAGACTTTCCCACCCTCAGTAGCAGAAGCCCTGGCACTGTCCCTGAGCAAGGAAGAGACCAGGATCTGCCCCCTGCCGCTCGAGAGATGCTGCCTGCGTTGTAGACAGCCGGCAGGTGCTTGGCCTCAGGGCAGCAGGGGAGTCTACTACTTGCCACTACGTGAGCCCTGCCCAGGAGCTGTGAGGCACCTTTCTGGACACTCGTAGCCAGGGCTGAGCCTGAGCCTCAGTAGGGTGGGCAGGGTCTGCAAAAGAGGTGGGGCGAGGCCTTGGCTGCCGGAACTGGGCTGTCCTCATTCACAGGCTGTGCCTTCTGTTGCAGAAATGCGGATCGGCCTGACGGAGGAGTTCTGCGTGGGCAAGACGGAGCTCCGAGGTGAGTGGTGGGTCCCCCTGCCTCTGCCCCAATTCCCTTCCCCAGGAGAGGCCCCCTTTTGCTCCTTGACACTGCTCCCGCTTGTCCCCAGGCTATGGCACCGCCGTCCGCGTGGATGAATGTTCCTTCCACAGTTCTGTTAAGCTGGATGAGTTTGAGCGCAGTCGCATCCTCCGGGTGAACCCCGGTCAGGGGGAGGTAAGGATTGGGGGGGAAGGGGACTGGGAGGGTGGAGTGGGGGGGGGAGAGATGAGCCTCTCCTGATCTCCCCTCCCCCCCATTTGCCTCCTCCTTTGCAGCTGACCTTGATGCAATACCAGGTGGCCGATGACATCCCTGCGGCCCTGCCCTTCCACCTCTTCCCCACAATCAGCCACGACCCCAGTGGCCGGTGAGTGCCAGCTGCCGTCCTTCTCTGCACCTCGGGTACCCTACGAGAGAAAGCGAGCGAGCGAGTGTTCTCTCCATTTTGCATCTGCTCTGTTTTCTTCCCCCACAGGATACAAGTTTATCTCAAGCTGCGCTGTGATTTGTCACCCAAGAGGTAAAATACCTTGTTTGATTTGTGACGTGGAGAAGAGCAGAGACCGGCTCCACGCTGTGTCCCTCCTGCCCCCTGGGTCTGCTCATCATCCTTTCTCCTTTGCAGCTACGCTGTAAACGTCCACCTCCACCTCCCAGTTCCCAAGGCTACTTTGAGGTAAGACAGACCACCGCCTGCTTGACTCTCTCTCTGCTGGGGGCCTCTGTGCTACTGCTGCACAACCTGACACCCTCACTTGGCCTTGAGCTGTTGGGGGGGGGGTTCTCTCCACCTTATGGCCTCCTTCCCCTCTGCCTAGCTTCTCTCAGGAGCTAAGCAGTCCAGAACAGACGGCTACCTTGCAGGCCACCACCAAATCCGTGGAGTGGGTTGTACCTCGCATTCAAGGCGGCTCCCAGCTTTCTGCCCTCTTTAAGGTAAGGCTTAAATACAGGGAAGGGGGGAAAGAGGCCCTGACAGCAGTGGGCAGAGCAGCGGGACAGAGCCACGCTCCAACTCCTGGCTTGTAGCCTGGGCGCGGGAGCATGTCTCTCTCCTCTCAGAGGCCTGCTTTTTCCTTGCAGCTGGAGGTGCCGGGACTGAGCCGGGCAGGGCTGCTAGAGTTAGGCCCGGCCAGCCTCTCCTTTGAGTTGCCAGCCTACACCTGTTCAGGGCTCCAGGTTCGCTTCCTGCGGTTCACAGGGCCACAGCCCAGCCTTCCCCATCGCTGGGTGCGATACGTGACTCACAGCAACTCCTACGTTATCCGCCTCAGTGCCGGGTAGAGGCTCTCCGGGCTGCCGGGCCGTCCCTCCCTTTGCAAGGACAAGCGCTGGCTCCATTTCCTTTCAGACACAAGAGGCTCTCCGGCAACCCACTTTTATTTTTGAACCAACAACTGTAACGTATGAAAGCCAGAACTGTGTAATAAACTCTGGAACATGAAGTATTGCCAAGGTCTTCTTTGGAAGGGGAGGAGGACAGTCAATGAGGCGTGGCGCCAAACTCCATCCCGCACAAACTATCCCTGAGAAAAGGGGCGAACAGAGGCCCCAGGCACGGATCCTCGTCGGAGGGTCCACACAACGGAGGCGTTTTACAACAGGGTAAATCTTTCCTGCCCTGGCGCGCAGGGCAGGTGCCAAGGGAATGAATTGCTGGCCAGGAAGCACTAGCCGACGAAACCTGCAGCAGGAAGGGGATTAGCAGAGACGGAGACAGATGGGATGAGGAGATGAGAACCTTCTTGATTCTGTGACCCTTCCGTATCCTTCTAACTCTGCAGTTCTCTAGTTTTCAAAGCCTCCGGACTGAAAGACAAGACGGCAACCACCACCCTCACTGCCATCAGCCTCCTTTGTGAGCTTTCAGAGCCACCAGATCCGATTGTAGAATTTCAGAATTGTGGAGCTAGAAGGGGGCCCAAGGATCACGGGGCCCACCCCCTGCCAGTGCCGGAAGGAGCCAGGTCAGAGCCTCCTCCCTAGCAGGTGCCCAGCCATCCTCCGCTTAAAAACCTCCAGCGAAGGAGAGGCCATCACCCTCCCATGAAGTCCATTCCCACTGCCCAAGGGCTCTCATGGTGAGGCAAGGAGAGCAACACAGGTGAAGCCACATCCACCAAGGAGGCTGGGACAGCAGTGCTTCTCCTTTTGGGGGACACAGGGGGGGAAAAGGCCAGGTAGATGAGAGGGGCCATGGCCAGGCCCTCCTGTGCCAAGCACTGGCCTGCCTCCCATAAATCCACCTCACGGGGCTCCTTTCTTCCATGTTCCATCATCACCTGGCCCAGAGCCCAATCCTTCCTCTTCTTCCTCACTGGTCTCTGGTGCCTTCATTGCTGTCTCTCCAGCTTGTGCGGATTGGGGCCTGTGAGGTATGAACACACGGAATGCATCTGCACCACTCGGAGTCTCCCTCACAGCTCCCTTAATCCCGAGGGCTTCCAGCTTCCTGGCCAGGAGAGGCCACCGTCTCCCTGACTCTCCTGCCATCTCATTAACACCACTTTCACGCTGTTTGTACACAAGAGGCTGCGGAGCACACAGGCCTGCGCAAACAGCAGTCAGCTGAGGAACAAGAAGTCCCACCCACCCGAGCACCGTGCCTGCCCCACAGCTGCTTTTTGGAAAAAAGAGCTGTCAGTTTTTTTGTTGTGCCCTGATGTCAATATTAGCCAATAGAGTCATTCACAAAAAAAACAAAACAAAAAACTGAGCTGGGGGCTCCCTTTCTGATGTCCTCTTAATTCTGGGAAGGATAGAAAATTTGAGTGTGCCCTCTTTGGGACATTCCCAGAGCTTCCCTTGGACTGCAAATCCTGCGCAGGAGTCCCTCTTGGCTGGCCTGCAGCAGGTCACTCCAGCCCACTCTGCTTTGTGTGTTTTGTTGCTGCTGCCACCCTGTTGTTTGTGTCCTTTTTGGTTACTTTGATCATTTATTTAATATTTGTTCAACTTCTATATCACCCATCTGGCTAACAAGGCCATTCATTCAAGATCTCAAGATTGTTTCAGCTAAGCATTTAGTGTTTTTGTTATCCTCTTTGTGATGGTTTTTAACTGGAATAATAAACTCTAGAGATCTACGGTATTAAGTCAATATGAGCCACTCTTACAAGTTAGGTCAGTGCCGCTGCTGGAACCAAAGTCTCTACAGGGCGGAGGGGAGGGGAGGCTGGCACTGAGGCCAGAGTTCAGATCCCCCCCCCGCTCCCCACCAGGGGCCTAACTGGCCTCACATTAGTGAGGAACAGAGTGGACGAGCCAGGTCCACCACTGTTACTCTTTGGTGAAAAGGTGGTGTGTTCATGAAACATCAGATGATCTTATCCGAGGACAGCATCCCCCTTTCTCATCCAAGTAACTGTTGAAACCCCATTTCTGAAAGGAGCAGAATCTGATTCTTTCTGGTGCAGATGATTAACCGAAGCTACCCCACATACACTCTTATGGCCAGCCACAGGTGTGGAGGCACTAGCCTCCTCTGTGATTTTTGGAAGCCTGGAATCCAACCCTGCCACAGACAAAGGTCGGCCCCAGCCGCTTTACTGGTCCACCTGCGCCACCTCTCACCTCTGTACAAACTCCGACTCTGAGCCAGACTCTTGCCGTCCCAGCCGAGCGGCTGAAGGCAGAGGCTTCCCCCTGAGGCCAGGATGTGGGGAGCTGCTGGTGCTGGTGGAGAGGCTGGCCTTGTCATCATGGTCCTGCTGCTGGGGGCTGTGGAAAGCACCACGGGACGACGGAGAGTCCAGCCACGGTTGGCTGTAAACAGTGCAAAAAAGGCAGCAGCAAGTGAATAAGTCAGGATCAAGTGGGGTGGGGGAGGGAAGAGATGCCCCCCCGCCCCTCACCTCTGCACAAACTCTGATTCGGAGCCCGACTCCTCCTGCCCCAGTTGAAAGGTGGGAGGTGGGAGTTTCTTCCTCAGGACAGTAGAGGAGAGCAGAGGGAGCTGCAGGTGGCTGATAGCGCTGGAGGGGCGGCTGGCCTTGTCGCTCCTGGCCTCAGAGGACTCTAGCAGGGGAGAGAAGGTGTGTTAAGTTTCCACTGCCGCCCCCCCCCCAATCTCTGAAAGCAGACCCTTCCACACGCACTGCCAGCAGCAGCATGTTCAAGCTCTCCCCATCGGCTCCCCCACCCTCTCAGCCACTCTGCCAGGCACCCTCTCCCACCATCCAGGTGGCGCCTCCTCCTCTTGGGGGCTGATCTGGGCCTCTGCTTAACTTCTGAATCCAAGGGCTGTGGATCGGTGTCTTCTGGGGAACTCAAGGAACGCTGGTAGAGCAGGAAGGACGTCCAGCTGGGTGGCTTGCTGTTCCCAGAGGGAAGGTAAACCTGACGGGTCTTCTTCAGATAGGCCAGCCTGCCGGACAGAGTGGGGTGGGGGTGGTTTCTGTTGTTACCGAAGGAGAAGGGAGCAGCAGAGGGTCCCCCTCTTCAGCCCCACGAAGACACTCACAACAGAGCTTTGTCTGGATCCAGCAGTCTTGGGGAGAATTCACTCAGCAGCTCCAAGAGGGGTAGGTTGACGAGGCCCAGAGCAGAGCTGGGGGAGGCTGGGTCCTGGAAGGCAAACTTTATCCCGGTCCTGAGGTGAAGGAGAGAGGCTGGGAGCTCTCCCTGGGAAGCAGACCTCCTTTCCACCTCCACTTGGCATCCCGGGAATGATTCCTGACCGGCCCATTCCTGTCCCAGGTGCCCCAGGCCACCCTCCTCCCCCCTTCCCACATGGCTGCAAGGAAGGAAAAGGCACCAGGCCGATGCTCACTTGTGCAGGGCAACGAGGGCCGAGCGGTTCGGCAGCTGGTGTAACCCAAAGAGCAAAGAGAATCGTCGAGCCAAGTCACGGATTTCCAGGAAGGCTGCAGAGTCCACACCTCCCGGTCCCTGTTCCATGAGCAGCTGCGTCCACAACTGCACGGAGGAAATCCAGTGAGCCCCCACCAAAGGCAAGCTCCGCTCCACCTGCAAGGCCCAGAAGCCACCCCTGTGCCAAGCCATCCCCAAATACCTGCTGGAGAGACAGAAGCAACGTGCGAGCCCATTCATTACGGTCAATCTGGCGGGCCCGATTCAGGGTTTCCTTGATGATGTCCCCGTAATCACTGTAGAACTGAGGAAGGAAGGTGGAAGGGACAGGCGACATTAGCTGGGAAGATTCCTCACAAGCAACCATCAGCAGGTCAACACCAAAGATCATCATCAGACACTGTACTGGCGGGACCCACCCTGTGCCGCCCAGGACCATACCCGAGACCTAGTGCAGCCAGGGAAGTCCTGAAGCAAGAGAGCAGGTCA